GAGAGAGTGTGTGTGTGTGTGTGTGTGTGTGAGAGCGTGTGTGTGTGAGAGAGTGTGTGTGTGTGCGTGTGTGAGAGAGAGAGAGTGTGTGTGTGTGCGTGTGAGAGATATAATATATATTATAGAATTAAACAAATAAATACATATTTTAGTTTATATTGTCTTATATATTTGAAATATTTAATATATTTATATTTTTGTTATAATTATGTGTGCATATATACTATATATGAAAATTTAATTAATATAAAAAAAATATATTAATATATAAAATAATATAAGTATGTTATTATAAAACAATTAAATATTAATATTACTGATTTACAGTAAGTACAGAAAGGTCAACAACATTTGTAAAGCGTGTGTTGTGTGTGTGTGTGTGGTGTGTGTGTGTGTGTGTGTGTGTGTGTGAAAAACCACATCCAAGTGCTGCTGGACCCCTGAACACACGGGGCCGTCCTGTCATGTGCCTGATGAGCGTTTCTGCATTTTGCTTTAATTAGATGTAATACAGTTAAACAAGGTTAGTGAGGGGATGTTTGAAGCGTGTGGATCTCTTGTACTGTACTGACGTGTGTGTGTGTGTGTGTGTGTGTGTATGAGGCCAGATGAACTTGTTTACAGTTTTAACCAACATTAAACTGATCAGTTATGTAAACATCAATTTAATGCGTTCTGTCCTTTTTTACCCCATCATGTCAAGCTTTCCTTCAAGAACATCAAAATTTGTATTCTTTCTGTACGATACATGACCAGTCATTCATGATTTACTGGATAATGATTAATATTATTATTTTTTATTTATTTACTAAATTTCTACCTGATGAAATATTTTACAGCTTGGAATAACTAGTAAAATGTATATTCATTATAAAAATGGCCAAAAGTACAAAGTTGTTTGTATGTACCACATGTTTTTGAAGTCTCCTCTGCATTTATTTGATCAAAAGTACAGTAAAAATTGTGAAATATTTTTGCAATTTAAAATATCTGTTTTCTATGTGAATCTCTGTTAAACTGTAATGTATTTCTGTGATGCGCAGCTGTATTTTCAGCATCATTCCTCCAGTCTTCAGTGTCACATGATCTTCAGAAATCAGTATAATATGCTGATCTGCTGCTCCAGAAACATTTCTGATTATTATCAATGTTGAAAACAATCGTGCTGCACGATATTTTTGTGGAAACTGATACATTTGAATTTTTCAGGATTCATATCTGCGTTCGGTTTCATTTCAGTCGCCGTTCACATGCAATAAAACACACAGACTACAGCTACTCATGATGTATTGTTGCAATACAAAACAAAACATGAAATAAATCCATAATTAGAATAATTACGAGGAGCTTAAGGCCCCGAACAGCCACGGTAGAAAAGTTAATACCACAAGCGACCGTTCAGATGAAATTAAATGAACAGTTCTTCTAAAAACGGAGGCATTTCATTGAGATAAACACACACACACACACACACACACACACACACTCGTCCTCATTCAGTAAAAGCTGAAGTTTTGGTCTAAAGCAAAGTCATAACACTACATCAGACTCGTAACACATTTGGTCACACAAATCAGAAACATCCGGCAACACAATTCTAACGTCTCTCGTTCTCATTCAGTTCCAGACGCTCAAACGCTTTCAGGTATAAAGACGCCAATGTCTGAAATGAGACTCTAAAGATGCATCTGATCAGACACCAACACTGACACATAAGTACAGAAAGAGAGGGGGCAAGGGTAGGACACAGTGCAGTAACAGTCGAGGTCGCTGGTTTAGTTGAAGCCCTGCGTACAAACACAGACCAGAACTGAAGGACTAGATTCTTACACGATCTGAAGAACATGTTTACATGCACTCAAATAATCCATTAGTATCGGACTGAAAAGCCTTCATGTACTTCCCTCTGATTGTATTGGAAATAATCTGTAGGGGAGAAAAAGCTAAGCTTGCAATACGTTCTAATACGACCATTTTATCAAACGGATTCAAAAATACTTTGCGCACATGCGCAGTGCCGAGACATCACGGAGACGTCTATTATACGTCTGCATTACATCTGCTAGACGTATTTTTTAGAGTGTTTGCTCATCTGCGATACGTCTATAGGACATTTCCTATCAGATGTCAAATAGATGTTTAGAAGATGTTTTTAAGATGTTTATGATGTAAAACTGACATCTTAGAGACGTCTATCAGATGTTTGCACACAGCAGATGCTTTCCAGATCTTTAACAGACGTCTTGCAGACGTGCCTGTGCTCTCTGGGATGTGTCTTATATTACAGACATTACGTATTTACCTCCTACGAACTAATAATCCCAGCCAACAGGGAACGTTCTCAGAACTTTGTTTAAGGTTCTCTCAAGCTCATGAACATTCTTCCAGTAACGTTAATAGAATGTTTGCTCAAAGTTCTCTGGTCTTTAAAGGCAGGGTATGTGATTTTTCAAAAAACACTTTAGAAAACTGATTCGGGCCGAATAGCAAAACAAACTTGTAGCCAATCAGCAATAAGGGGCGTGTCTACTCGTGATGTGGAGGAGAGAGCGTTCAGTGCACGGGACGGACATTAGCCGAGCCGAGCGACAGAAAGATAGAGATGGCGGATAAAAAACAAAAGAGGAAAACGTCTGCGGAACGATAAGGCAAGAAGTAGGACCCCGTGTAAATATCGGATCAGCTTTCCAGTGCCGGAGAGAACTCAAAGAGCCGGAGGCCTGCGATCGGACGCCGAGGTTGCTTTGTTTCTTCTCGATAGGTGAGTAACACCGTGTCTACAACAGCTAAAGTCTGCCTACACTGGACGCGATCAAACGAGCTTTGAAAACCATTTGAAATTTATGTCAGTACGTCATAAATAGAACCCGGCAGCAGTGTTCTGTCGGGGATTTGTTGCGCCGCGCCGCTCACGTCCGTAGACACGGTGTAACATTGGTTTTGCTTTGTTTCACAGAACTAATCGTTGCCTGGGTTGCGTACGTATGTGTGGGGCGGAGCTATCAAAATAGGGGCAAGACCCTTTTGGGGTAGGGGCGTGTTTGTTTTGGTGATTTCAAATATCAACATTGGCTACCAGAAATCACTTACTCTGCCTTTAAGAGTGTTCTCAAAACGTTAGCACAAAACATTATTTATACTTCATTCCTGAAACGCTTTAGTTGGACATTTATCTGAAGTTTTTTTTTTTAAAATGTTACTAGTTATAGAATGTTCAGAGAACATTCAAACGTAACATTGCCCTAATGTTTGCAAAATGATCAAATAGAACCAAAAAAACAACGTTTCTAAACATTAACAAACTGGATGTTTAGAACGTTCAGAGAACATTTTATAACATCATGGACACATTAGGAAAACATTTTAGTTGGATGTACATCTAACTTTTTTTTTGGTGAAAGTTTCTACTTGTTTCAAAACATTCAGAAATAACCTTTTCATAACGTTATTATATCTTTCTTAGAACATATTTTTGTTAGCTGGTCAGTGGAGGAGAAGGAATATTTACTAAATATTTGCTAAAAAAGCTTTTCTTTTAGGTGTCATCTAATCCAAAACGACTCGCGTTAGCTCTGGTGACATTATCGCAGTGGCCTTTTCCAGTTATCAAAGAGGTGTCTTTTGTTCGGAATACGTAAATATACATGTAAATGAATATGTGAAGTTTACCGTTCATATAAACAACTTTCAGGATCTGAAATCGGATTGGATTCGTTCAGATTGAAGAAAATGAGTGCATGTAAACAAACTGCCTCGATGCTGCGGTGGTTGTTGTGGTGTTGCTATGCAGTTGCTAAGGTGTTCTGAGTGTCTATGGGATGTAATACTTAGTGCTAGAGGTTTCAGCATCTGGCTAACACTAAAATATGAGAACTTAGTCAAATTGATGGCTGATTTAGCAAACACCACTAATAACAGGATGGAAGATGAAGAGAGACGGTGGTCTGGTCTGGTCTGGTCTGGTCTCGGTGTTGAGGTTTGTGGTGGTGATCAGGGTTTCTCTTCTTCTGCACCTCCGGAGAGATTCATCAGACTACTGCCAGCTGTCATCTACACACAATCAGATGTTACACTCAACATTTACAGCATTTATTTGAAATAGAAATCTTTGTAACATGAATGTCTTAATGCTATTTAATGCTAAATATAAGACATTTCTTTAAAAAAATATATGTTACCATGGAGATGATCCACCTGTAACAGAGGAAACGAGACACAGTGTATCAGCTGAAGGTAATTATGGTATGTTGTGTGTGTGTGTGTGTGTGTGTGTCACCTCTGCCTCTGCTGCTGTGCTGTTGTGTGTGTTTTCTGATTCAACACCATCTTCCATCTCACACGCCATGTTGGTGTCCATCATCGCATCGTCCTGCTCACACACAACAACATTTACATAACGGTAAGATTTTCTGAAAGAAGTCTCTTCTGCTCACTGCGGCTGCATTGATTTGATCAAAAGTGCTGTCAAAATTCTGAAATATTATTCTAATTTAAAACAGCAGTTTTCTATGTGAATCTCTGTTAGACTGTAATGTATTTCTGTGATGCGCAGCTGTATTTTCAGCATCATTCCTCCAGTCTTCAGTGTCACATGATCTTCAGAAATCAGTATAATATGCTGATCTGCTGCTCGAGAAACATTTCTGATTATTATCAATGTTGAAAACAGTTGTGCTGCACAATATTTCTGTGGAAACTGTGATACATTTTAATTTTCAGGATTCACAGATGAATAGAAAGTTCAAAAGAACAGAATATTTATTTGAAACAAATCTTTTGTAACATTATGAATGTCACTTTTGAGCAATTTAATGCATCCTGTATAGTAGTACTAATTATTTTTTTTTTAAATGATACACTGTGCACAGAATGAGAATGTTCTTTGTGTGTGTGTGTGTGAGAGAGAGAGAGAGAGAGAGAGAGAGAGTGTGTGTGTGTGTGAGTGTGTGTGTGAGTGTGAGTGTGTGTGTATCTCCTCACCTGCATCCACAGGTGTTTCAGCACCTCGTCAGCCGTGTAACGAGCACCGACATTCACTTGCAACATCTTACCAATTAAATCCTGCAAAAGACACATCAGATTCTTATGGAAGCTTGTTTTTGTCACGGAATAAAAGAATATTCGTCCCAAATCGCATACTTATGCACTATTCTATGACGTTTTGTAGTATAAATAGTGCGAGTAGTGCGTTCACACTGAATATTCCAAAAAGAAAAAGTGCACTTTAAATACCAGGATGATGCACTTAAATAACCGAAAAAATAAGTGTGGAATGTTGGACACTTCATGCACTCAACTGTCTCAGCTTTAATTAAGTACCGAAGGGGGAGGGGCTATCAGACTCCGATTATGAATGAAAAAATAAGCTTATATAATTCATACTACACATGGTTGAGTACATAGTGCATAAGAACACAGTGCATGAGTGCGTAGTGTATCATTTGGGACGCAGCTATTGTGACCTTTTTTCTCAGAACTGCAAGTTTCACATCTCGCAATTCTGACTTAAAAAAATAAAAATAAAATAAAATTAGTAAAGGTAATTGCACAATTTGAACTTCTCAGAATTGCACGTTTACGCTGCAGGGAAAAAATCTGAATTGTGAGATGTAAACTCGCAATTACTTTTCTTTTTTATTCTGTGGCCCAACAATTCAAAACTTGAAAGTAAGCAGTAAAAGTGAGCGCTGAATGAGCGTTTATTCTGTGTTTGTGTGGTTGTTCTTCGCAAACCTTAGCAGAGAGGCTGATGTTGTCCCAGTACGGCGAGGGAAACTCCAGTCTGCCCAGTAAGATCTGCTCGAACAGCTCCTCCTGCTGGTTCCTCTCGCTGCGGAACGGAGGAAAGCCACACAGCAAGATGTACGTGATCACACCCGCAGCCCAGATGTCCACCTTCAGCCCATACCTGCAGCACACACATGCTTTCACTGAACACTACACCATGTGCTCTCGCTCCAGCTATCAGCACAAACCACTGTTTCTTCTCATTTAAAGTAGTTAAGTTAGTCGCTCTAAAAAACAGTATAATAGTAAATCAATGATACCAAAATAACACTTGTACAGAAACAAAATGCTATTTTTATTTATTTATTTACACTATTTCTGTGGTAAGAAAACAAGAATTCGTATGCTATTTTGCGTTTCCAGTAAATGTATCTTGATTTAAGAAAATGTAGATATTTGTACTGGAAAACAAGACAAAAATACAGAGGAAGAACATCACTTATGAAGTATAAACTTTAAGCATTAAAATTAAATGTACAGTAAATACAAGCAAGATCAGCAATTAAGTAAATATTTCACTATAAAACACCTAAAATCCTTTACAAAGAATCACTGAATCATTTTTATGAACTGCTTCATTTACATGCATTACGTGAACCAGTTCACTAAAACGAATCATAAGAAAAAGTTTGCTTAAAGTTTGCATATGTGTTTTATGTCTTGTATCATATTTGCTCCATCAGGCTTTTATGGCTCATATAGTCTGATACAGTGAGAATATGGAGGGAGAAAAACTGAGCTAAAAATATGAATTTGCTGCAGATGTTGATATTTATATGATGAGATTCTGATGCTTGTAATGCAAATCAGTGAGATCTTTCTAACAGTGCAGCAGATACTGAAAATGCTCTGAATATCAGCGGTCGCTCTATATCTGCAGTAATGTGTCTCAGTGAGACGAGACTGAAATGCTCCAAACATATAATGCAGTGATGGAGAGCTGAAGAAATAAAGGCTCCTCAGAAGATGTGAGATGTTCTGGAGGCTTGTGAAGATCATTCCTCCGCTGAGGAACAGTGAAAGTAAAGCTTCTGGAAACAAACGCTCCTCAAAAGATCCTGAGGATCAGATTTGAGACTCTAAAACATGATTGATGGAGAATCAAGTAAAGCTGAGCTGCTTCAGTGCAGTAAGTGTTCATCTGGAGATATTACTGACGTTATTCTGACCTTTACTTGATCAAAACCAGTCCAGATCTGACTACAGTTACACTATAAGAGCTTTTACTGGATAAAACTCTAAACTCTCAATCAGAGACAGAAGACATGCAGGATATTGTGTGTGACAATCTAGAGACCTTACAAATTAACATCAAATAATGAAACGGTAGTTTTATAGGCTAAGTTTTACCCGCTCTCTGCGATGATCTCCGGTGCGACGTACGTAGGTGTCCCGCAGACGGTGTACAGCGGTCCCTCCACCGCCGTCGCCAGACCAAAATCACCCAGCTTCAGAGACTTGGTGCCGTCTGGATACTCACACACCTGCACACACACAGATGTGTGTTTATACTCCGCATGTGTGTGTATGTGAGCAGTGAGACACGTGTGAGTGTATGTGTGTGTGTAAGAGAGAGTGTGTGTGTGATGGCTGAATTGGATCATCGAAATAAATAATTTTATCAAATAAATAATATTTGTGTTGTATAATATATTTAATTATTGCAGGTTTGTATAATATTCTGAGTTTGCATTTGATGGTTTTTATTCATTTTGAGGAATACTGATTCTGTTTTTGTGCAGGTGAGATGAGTAAATGCACATTCACATTTAGTCTAGAGCTACAGTAACATCATGTTCACAGAGCGCACACAACGCCTCTGCTCTTCCGATTTCTCCCAATATGGGGACAGGAGAGCTGTCAGCCAATAAATGGGAAAACAAAGTATCTGGCATTACTTTTTTGAAAAAGTAATTCAGATATTTTCTTGTAAATTAAAAAAGTAATGCGTTACTTTACTAGTTACTTGAAAAAGTAATCTGATTATGTAGCTTGCGCTACTTGTAATGCATTACCCTCAACACTGTCTGTGTGTCTGTGTGTGTGTGTGTGTCTGTGACTGTGTGTGTGTGTGAGCAGTGAGACCTGTGTGTGTGTGTGTGTGTGTGTGTGTGTGTGTGAGCAGTGAGACCTGTGTGTGTGTATGTGTGTGTGTGTGTGTGTGTACCAGCAGGTTCTCTGGTTTAATGTCTCTGTGTACAATGTTCATTTTGTGCAGGTATCGCAGCGCTCCGGTCAGGTTGAACAGCATGGCGCTGGCGTCCCGCTCCGTGTACTTTGTGGAGGAAGTGATGGCGTCGAACAGGTCACCGCCCTGCCGAAAACACACAACACTGTCACATACTACTCATACTAGGACTGCTAGTGTGTGTGTGTGTGTGTGTGTGTGTGAGAGAGAGAGAGTGTGTGTGTGTGTGTGTGTGTGTGAGAGAGTGTGTGTGTGTGTGTGTGTGCGGCTGACTGACCTTCACCAGCTCCATCACCAAATACAGCTCAGTGGGCGTGTCCAGCTCCTCTATTAGCATAATGATGCTTGGGTGACGAACCTTGCGGAGTATCGCCACCTCATTGGCTATCAGGTGCTCCTGTCAACACCAATTAACCAATCAGAATCTCTGCTGTGTTTTCACTGCCATGTAGTGAGTGAATATGTGAAAATGTTTACTAGAAACTACTGTTAATTTCACAACTGCACAGATTTATAGACCCCAATATTGGAGTGAGTTATTATAGTTAACTAAAACAAAAAAAACAAACAAACAAAAAAAAATGTATTACTTGAAATAGAATAAATGCTAACAGAAATTAAATAAATTGTAAAAAAAAACTTAAACTTTTTATATCAGCTAGTTGCCAGGTCAACATTTCTCATTTTTGTTTAGTTTAACTTGAAGTACTAAAATAATTAAAACTAAATAAACTAAAATTTATTAATAAAAATTTATTAAAAATAAAACGTATAAAAACTATTTTTTTATTTCCGCCATTTGACAAGGCAACGTTTCTCTTTTTTGTTTAGTTTAAGATAAAATACTAAAATAACTAACTAAAACATTTAAATTAACATTAATAATATATATATAGTATATATACTATATATTGAAAAAAATTTACACTTTTATTTCTGCTAATCGCCAAGGCAACGTTTCGCAATTTCGTGTAGTTTAACTTGAAGTACTAAAATTAAATAAACTAAAACTAATAAATAAAAATTAATAAAAACTATAGACATTAAAAAAACTATTAAAAATGACAAAAACACACAACAAAATTACTAAAACTTTACAAATTAAAGTGAAAACAGAACATTTAAAAATAAAATGTAATTTTAAAAATAAATAAAAAATGATAATAGTATATCAATGATATGATTTCATAAATGTCCACAGCTTGACCTCATCAATATACTAGTCTATGTCTAAAAATATAGTATATATCTAAAAATATATTAAAATATAAAAAAATGTGTGTGTGTATAAACATATATATATATATAACGTCCAGGCCAAATCATAATTCATATCGGAACTTCGGTGCGCGTATCGAGTTTAATGTAAACTGAAGGCTATTGCTTATTCAAAAAAGTGCATAATTTCCTTTTTTATCAGGAAATAATAACTGAGTACATTTTAGCATTCATCTGTGCAGGTCAAAGTTGCACTGATTTCAACTAATCTCAAAGGATCCTTATTCGCTGTGAAAGACTCAATGACATGAAAGAGGGAAGGACGCTAAAGATAAAACACAGCATACCTTGCCGCTGCACTTGGCCTTGTCAATGATCTTCAGCGCATATTCCTGTCCTGTAGACCTGAGACCAGCACACATCACATGAGATCTCAGCCGTTCACATTAGTTCTAGAGATAATGTGTCTTATTACCTCTCCACACACTCTCTGACCACAGCGAAGTTTCCATCGCCGATCACCTTTCCCACTTTATACTTTTCAGTGATGACAGACGACTGAACTTCATTACCGTTCACTGCAGAGAGAGAGAGAGAGAGAATGACACACAGATGCACAACGACAGCCAATCAGAACACACCTGATGTTTAATATGCAGTTATGTGGGATGTTTAATATGCAGTTTGTGTGTGTGTGTGTGTGTGTACAGGTTTTTCTATACTGGTGGGGATTTAAACCCGAATACACACAGACTCATGTGAACTTGTGTCACTGTGAGGACCTAAATTGAGGTCCCCATGCATACAGAAGCTTATGAATCATACAGAATGAGTTTTTTTGAGATTGTAAAAATGTGTGAGTGTCTTTGTGTGTGTGTGTGTG